CATACACATACATATAACAAAACATTAAACTACTTTATTGCATTTACTTACACTATCAACAACCACTACCCATTCTGCGCTTGGTGGAACAATAAAAGGATCAATTTCCAATGTCCGAAGGCTTACCTCTATTTGCTTCAAGTCCAACCTTTGTTCACCACCAATGTGCACAAGCAAGATTTACTACTATTAACAATAATCTCAACACCAAACACCTACACAAAGGTGCAATGCAATTGTTGTTACTCACGGCAAGTGCACCGATCGTACAAGTAATATAATGATTGAATAAGAGATCGTTCCCACGAGGATTATACTCAAGCACTAATTCACTATCGCAAATTTAGTTGGACAATCAAAGTTATATTTGGAAATAAAATTTGAGTTGAAAATTTAAAATATTAAAACTAATTGATTGCAAGAATTAAAAGCAAGAAAGTAAAGATTTGAATAAACTGATAAAATAAAAACATAGCTAGGGTTTCGATTTCCTTCAATCTCTTTATTACGTTTGAATTCCTTCCTTACGTTAATCGTCCTTAGTATCAATCTAATCAATTCTTTCGCATGTAATTAGGGCTCAATCCCTTGTTACCCTAAAACCTTTACAATCTTGAAAGAACCCTAGTTCCCCGGTTATTCCCCAAGAATGCAAGCATTAAGTTCAAGAATCTTAAAGATTACGCAAACTCTATGTCTATCCCTAGAATCATAAAGCGTACGATGAAATTATCAGATAAGGATCACACACCAATATTCCTATTGTCATGCATTTACCTACGATCATTATATAAGATTCAAGCCTATATAAAGCATTAAAAACAGATAATTTCATTCATGATATAAAGGAAAATTAACATACGAATTGTTCAAAGCATAATAAATTGATTAACTATTTAACCCTAACTACTTAAAGATTTAGCCGGACATAGCAAAATCAAGAACAAAAGACAATATAAAAGCTCCCCCAAACTCCATAGGTGATTGGTGAATCTTCAATATCCCCAGTGCAGACTTGATGTTGATCCGTCTCCACCAATCACGAACATGAACCGAGTGTTTCTCCGCATTCCCTCCGCCTCCAAGTACCAAGAATTGTGTTTCAATATCAAAAGTTTCTTATTCTGACCCCCAAATGTGTTATTTATTGGCCAAGAGTTCGTATCCTAGTTGAATACCTCGTATGGGCCTAAGTTGGGTTTCTGGGGCGCTTAAGCTTGGTCATTCGCGCTTAAGCCCCCTAGAACGGTGATTGCAGAGTTCGCGTTGCACGCTTAAGCGCGATGGAGGGCGCTTAAGCGCTCCTCGAGCTGGAATTTTCTTCTTGTTGCGCGCTTAAGCCCAAAGTAGGGGGCTTAAGCGCCTTGAGGCAGAGGCTTTTTGCATTTTTAGGGAGCTTAAGCTTCAAAATGGGGGCTTAAGCTCCTATAGGCAGAGGCTATTTGCTTGTTTAGGAGGCTTAAGCCTCCTCTCTCAACAACTTGATAGGATCTTCAAATCTTTTTATTTTGATCTTCATCTATCATTTCTTCTAGTTGTGATTCCAATCTTCAAATTTGCCTCCTTTTATCTTAAAATCCCTTCAAAATAACAAATATAATTCATTTAATTAAATTTCATATAATGTTCATGATTATCATATTAAAACCCTAGTTTTTGACTTGTTCAACTTGATAATTTATATTATTTTAGTCTATAAAACAAGATAAACTAAAGGTTTATCAAACAATTCCCAGATTTGAACATTGATGTCCTCAGAAATTAAACAGAATAAAACTATGGGAAAGTTTGGAGACGGCTAATCATGCTTAATGAATAACAGACAGAAAACTAATCAATGTAAGATATCAAAGTTTTCAGACTTTCATAAAAAATCAATGACACATCAATTTCAAGCATACTTTCACACTTACTAGTCATAAAATCATAACACGAGTTCTCAAAATAAATAGTAGTTTAATTCAAATCCACAACACCCTCTCACTGGATTTTTTTTTTATTCACTCACACTCAGTGTTTAAGGGTATGTGTTTCACTCTTACTTCACTGAATTAACACTACCATAGACTTGTTTATATTCTCACTCTCCACAGTCTAATTGGTATACAAGGTTAATCAAGAGGTCTTTGTTAGGGTTGTAACGTGGTTTAGGTAAAAGGAAAGAAATTATCTGGGTAAGTGGCTTAAGATTACTGATAAAAATTCAATTTCAAAGAGGAATTTATATATGACTGTTCAACATACAGTAAACAAATTTCCCTTATTTTCCTTTCTCCTCTTTTCTTCTTCCACTTATTCATATAATATGAATCTTTTATTTCTTTTCCTTTTTCCTTTTGTTTTCTTTTTCTGCTTTTGTACAGATACACATTTCAACCTTTTTCTTTGCTTTTCTTTTCCACCACTTTTTGGCTTTTTCCTCTTTTCACCTTTTTCTCCCATACAGTTAGAGTTTGATTTTCTCTTTTGTTCCAATCATATCTAGTTCCTCATTTAAATTTGAAAATTAATCAGTTCAGGTTAGGATGTGCATGGAGTGGCTATTCATAATAAGTTGTCAATGACTAAATAGGCCTAGGCTCAAGGGGCTTAATCAAAGGATAAATATCAGGGTGGCTATTTGGCTATCTAGTTTTTTAAAAAGAACTGTCTCTATCATTTCAACAATATATACCGCAGACCATCTCAAGGAGAAACAAAACAAGTTCTAGAGTGATTCATACAGTGAAGTTCACACCACAAAAAAGCAATATTTTCTGTTTAGGCTCAATAGCTCACGACTAAGGGTGTGAGACTTATTTTTCCAACTCTCTATTTGATCACTTTAGTTATTTTTTCTCTTATTCCAGTGAATTATTAAGCATACTTGACTGACACTCATTTATGTGTGAAAATAAATTTACACCATCATACTCTTAATCTCAGCAATCAATCAATATCCTGTAATTATTCACAATGTATGCAATCAAGTACAATGGAACTTAAAAACAAAGAATTCACCATTTAAAAATTTCACTAACATTTAGTGACTAAAGATGGGTGGGGTATTATAAAAACTAAATTTAAAGTTTAAAATTTTTAAAGTAAACTAATATAATTAAAATCTAATTTAAACTAATACGAATTTAAAATAACATAAATAAAAGGAATAAGATAATATGAAATATAATAATATTGAGAAATCTTCCCTGAATCATTGCATATGCAAGTTGGATAATTTCTGTGTAATCATGAATTCTTTCCTTCCGACCATGTGAGGTTTGTGGTCTGATGAATTGCATGGTACCCACTCCCAGATTTAAATCTTGTTTTCCTCAGCGATTAATTTAAATCTAAAAGACTCCAAAGCAAGAAATCAGAAAGATTTGACAATGTATTATGCACACATGTCAGAGAATGAACTATGTCAGCATGTCATATCCAACAAAAATCATAATCAGGATTAGTCTCAACATACATCTCATACTACCATCAACTAGCATCAACAAAATAAATGAAATAAAATATAAGAGTCTAAAACTGATATGGGGTTCAATCCTCCTTCATATCAGTGGTGGGTGTGGTGTCCTGAAAAATCAGAAAAATTCCCAAGTCAATATGCCTTCCACAAAAAAAAAACAATTCCCAGATTTGGGTTTAGATGCAATCTGAAAATAATAATGAGTATATTGAACTGAGATATTTTAACAGCATGCATAACGTCAGTGATGAGCGTGCTTAAGCGCAGTAATGCACGCTGAAGCAGTGAGGAATGGGATAAAATTTTATTTAGCGCGCTTAAGCTTCCTCTCTCTCGCTTAAGCGCGGAGAGGCAGTGAGTTATTGTCATTTTTATTGTTTATCGCGCTTAAGCTTCCCTTGGGGGCTTAAGCGCGCTCTTCGTATGGGATTTTTCAATCGTGGAGCGCGCTTAAGCGCGATCCAGAGAGCTTAAGCGCGCTAGGGCCGAGATAAATTTCACTTTTGGGGGCTTAAGCCTCCTTTAGGGGCTTAAGCTCTCAATACTTAGAAAATTTTCTCCATATTTTCCTATTCCTTGCATTCATCTCTATTGTGTATTCTTCAACCTCAATAATTCCGCTCAATATCATACACAAAACGTACAAATTAATAAGAGTTGCGTACCTGTGTATGCTTTAATCCCACTTACACCTAAAAGTCCATCCCAATAGAATTTGATCATTAGCCTCAATGTTTTTATTTTTATGTAACATAATACTTAAATAACTAGACTATAATTAAAACTGAAACTAAACTAAACTAACTAAATTAAAATACTGAAACTTAAAATACTGGAAAATTAAAAAATGGTTGGGTTGCCTTCCATAAGCGCTTGTTTTACGTCACGAGCCTGACGTACCTCTTTTACGTTCATGGTGGCTCAAAGCATGGGCTTGGTGATGACCAAACTCCATCATTCAGAAATGATGTCCTCCCGTAGTACTCTTGTGCATATGAGTGAGATGTAGTAGGCTCAATAGCTTTGAATTTGGTGTTTACGTGTTTTCCTTTGCTCCTGAGCTTCTCCATTTTAACCTTTGGCTTGCTTTCTTGAGAAGAATTCTCTTTGTGCTCTTCTTTTCCTTTCTTTTCACTAATATAGTAGACTTGATCTTGCGGTTCAATTATAGGTGAAGGGACTTCTTTATCAAAGAACTTGAAAATAGCTTTCTCCCCGTCTACCCGTAAGATCAACTCGCTTTTCTGTACATCAATCAGTGCTCCTGAGGTTGCCAAGAAAGGTCTTCCGAAGATCATCGGAACAATAGCATTTTCCTCTATATCAAGGATGACAAAATCAACAGGAATAATGAATTTGTCAACTTTTACCAATATGTCCTCAATGATGCCATAAGCTTGTTTTGTAGAGCGGTCAGCCAGTTGCACTATTGTCTTGGTTGGCTTTACTTTAGTGATCCCCAGTTTCTTCATCATAGATAGTGGCATCACGTTAATTCTGGCACCGAGATCACATAGAACATTTTACACTTCCACATTGCCTATGTTGCATGGAATGTTGGATCTTTAATCTTTGGAGGCAACTTTTTCTGGATAATGGCACTGCATTCCTCTGTCAGAGTCACCGTCTCACATTCCTGCAGCTTACGCTTTCTTGACAGTAGATCTTTCATGAACTTCACGTAATTGGGCATATTCTCCAAGGCTTCGGTAAATGGGATATTGATTTGCAGCTTCTTGAAAATATCAAGGAACCTGGAGTACTGTTGCTTTTGAATTTCTTCTCTGAACGACTGTGGATATGGAATCTTTGCATAAGGTGAGAGCTCCAATGACTTTTCTTGCCTTTCTTGAGCTTTCTTTTTCTCCCATTTGAACTCTTTCTTTTCAGGAACAGTTTTCTCTGCAGCAGATTCTTTAGCAACTTCCTTTTCTTTTTCCTTTTCAGTTGCAGGTTCATCATCTTTATTTTTCTCAACTAAAGGCTTTACCACAGGTTCAATGGCTTTCTCACTCATAATAGTAATTGCATTGTAGTGTTCCCTACTTGGATTTGGAATAGTGTTACCTGGAAAAGTTCCTTGAACTCTTTCAGTGAATTGCCTTGACAGCTGGCCAATCTGAGTTTCAAGATTCCGGAATGAGGCCTTTGTTTCTTGCATAAAGGCTGAAGTGTCTTCTCTGAAAGCATTGGAACTCTGAATGTAATCTGACGTAGTCTTGGATAGTTGTCCAAAAGCCTTCTCCCATTCTGATTGTTATGGAGGTTGTTGTTGCACGGGCATAGGAGGATTCAGCTGATGGTTCGAACTGTAACTAAATCTCGGGTGTTGATTTTGATTTTTATTTCTCCACCCTTGATTCTGGTTATTTCCGTATCGGTTCCTCCCCGGATTATATGGAGCCTTTTGATCATGCCAAATTCCATTAACATCTGCAGTTTCGGGTGCCCTGCAGTCTTCAGTAGCATGGGCACCTGCACAAATATCACAAGTTATTTGAATATTATTAACAGAAGAGACTTGAGAACTGGTAAATTGCTTTGTGAGAGCATCTAGTTGTTCTTGTTGTTTCTTGTTAATTTGTAAAATCTGTTCATTCTGAGCTAAGATGGCATCATAGCCATCAAGCTTCATAATCCTCGCTCTTCTCTGTGGTACTGGAGCATTATCGTACTCCTGAGAGGCTAGAGATTCTAGTAATTCCAAAGCTTCCTCTGGAGTTTTTGTTTTAAGGACCCTCCTGATGCAGCATTCACCAATGTTCTTGTGTTGGGTGTCATCCCTTGGAAGAAAGTTCTCGCTTGCTCCCAGGCTTCAATGCCATGTTGGGGACACTTCCTGAGTAGTCCTTTGAATCTTTCCCATGCTTCATATAGAGATTCACTTTCTTTTTGTTCAAAATAAGTGATATCCGCCTTGAGCTTTGCCATTTTCGAAGATGAGAAAAATTTCTCTAAAAATTTTGTTGCCAAGTCGTCCCAGTTGGTGATGCTTCCTTGAGATAATGACTACAACCATCCTCTCGGATCATCTTTAAGTGAACAAGGGAACAATCTGAGCAAAATAGCATCCCAAGACACCCCATTCATCTTCAAGGTATCACAATATAGCAAGAAGTTTTCAAGATGGATGTAAGGGTCTTCCGTGCTTCCTCCGGCAAACTGGTCTTTTTGAATCAGTTGCAATAATGCAGGCTTGAGTTCAAAATTATTAGCATCCACGTTTGGTCTAACAATGCTTGCCGTCCGTGGAACTCGAGCAGGAGTCATGTAATCTCCTAACGTTCTCGGAGGTGGTGGAGGTACATTGTTGTCTCCCATTGCTTCTTCTCTTGGTTCTATTGAGCTTGAAGCTTCTTTTTCTTGCTGTCTCCTTTCTTTAGCAAGTTTTCTGTTTCTTTTTGCTGTTTTCTCTATCTCCGGGTCGAATTGCAAGGAATCGGTGTCAAGGGTACCTCGCATTAACTAAAAAATAAATTATATAAAAATAAAAACTGAATTTAAATAACAGAAAATAAGGTCCAATCTAAAGAATTAATAGCTACTATAAATGTTGAAATAGTAATCCCCGGCAACGGTGCCAAAAACATGTTGCTACTCACGGCAAGTGCACCGATTGTACAAGTAATATAATGATTGAATAAGATATCGTTCCCACGAGGATTATACTCAAGCACTAATTCACTATCGCAAATTTTGTTGGACAATCAAAGTTATATTTGGAAACAGAATTTGAGTTGAAAATTTAAAATATTAAAACTAATTGATTGCAAGAATTAAAAGCAA